ACAACAGAGGAAAGCCAAAAATAAGGGCCATTAATGCAATAGTAACACTCAGAAGCGGGATAGTTCCTCTAAACTTTTAAGACAGTAGTTTTCAACCATCCTAATGCTGTAACTCTTTAATACAATTCTTCCTCTATAATACACCACCATGTGATGGTGACCCCCAACCAACCATAAAATTTTGTTGCTACTTGATAATTGTAATTTTGCTACTGATATGAATTGTAATGTAAACATCTGATATGCAGGATATCTGATCAACCCCTGTGAAAGGGTCCTTCAACAACCCCCAAAGGGGTTGCGACCCACATGTTGAGAACTGCTGTTTCGAGAGAACACGTGATCGGTTTCATTTTAGGCTGGAGTCATAAATACTTCACACAGTACACACAAGAAGCGTCTAGAACAGGGCAGAGTAGGGTTGACAAACTGGTTAAGAATGAAGTTTTTATATTGCCATCCAAAATCAGATAGCTGAGGGGAGTGAGAACCACCTTCCCAAATAACTTAAATGCCGGTGGAGCAAAGTCATCTCCCCCAAAACAAAGCCAAGGAAACTTCCAGCTACAGAGGAATCCAGACTAGGACTGGCTGTGAGTAGTTCTTCTGTACCTCCTTTCTCCCCTCCCCCAACACTCATAAACAAAAACAAAATGTACCCTTGCCCACTTGAGAAAGAATCAAGAATTGGCAGATCTGCTGAAGTGGACAGCTTCCAAACCAAAGCCCTTTTCTGGGGAAGATGTTGACACAGCTCAGAAAACAGAAGAAAATCGCAAGTCAGTCAAGATCTGAGGAAGGCCATCAGAAGGTACCCATCCTTCCACACTTCCCAGAGTCTAAACTTCCTCAAGGGAATCAGGAAACTGAAAACGTTCCCTATCTGATCCTGTTTTTCCCCAGCAAAAAATGACACACAAACTCCCATTAAAACCAATCTCCTTCCACAATTAAAAGATATCCTAATAATACCTTCTAGGCACCTAATTGACCCAGTCAAAAGTCCCTCCTAAGTGGTACTTTCAAAGCAGCATTTTCTCAATCAAATCTTGGGAAATATCATTGTTCCCTTTGGTTAAAAATGACAGTGGGATGGGGTAATAATAAGCCCTTCTGTCTTGTAGCACAACACAAGGAGGGAGAATGAAACAAACACTGAAACAGGACAGCAGAGAGAACAAACAGTGTGGTGACCTCACATTTATTAATCACCTGCCAAAGGTCAGCCACAAGATTGAATCGTAGACTGAGTTACTAAAACTACTCTGTGATTCTGATTAAATCCTCAGGTATTCAATTTGAAAATTAATAAAATATAGTAATCCCTCCAATTCTCTAGCTCCATAAATTCCATCAATAAAAATGCTCTGGTTAAACAGAAAAGTACCAAAAGGCCCTTTGCCTTGTTCATTTCAAATACACTTTAGACACCACTGAAATAGCCTTTCTTGGATTTGAAACTTATCACCATATGCTTATAATCCTTATTATCGCCCCCATTGACTGCACTACCAGTTAAAGCACGCCAGTGGTAGAGCACATACCTAGCACAAAACTGAGTTCAAATCTCAGCACCACAAAATAAACATAAGGCAGGCATGGAGGTTCACAACTGTACAGGAACACTTATGAGGCTGGCAAAGGAACAGCTATAAGTTCAAGACCAGACTGAGTTAAGTAGTTAAATTCCAGGCCTGCCTAGGTTACAGCATGAAACTCCATCTCAATAAATAATGGATGGATGGATGGACATACTGACAGGAGATAAAGCTCCACATGATCCAGCCTTGCCCAATTTTGTCTGCCATCCATAATTTCTTAGACACTACCTAAATCTGTTTCATTCCTTTACTTTTTTATTCAAGCTATAGTCTCGGCGTACAGTGTGCTACTCTCAGCCTCCTGTAGGCTGCATGCTTAGCTCAACCTTCCCTTCCAATTGGGAGGCCAATTGTTTGTCCTGTGGTTGCAGACCCATGGCAGAAATGACATGTGGGCCTCCGTTCTCTACCCCATAACTTTATTACAGCTTTTACCACACTTCATCTTATATTTACTATCTCTCAATTAGACCCATTGTTCTCCACCTTCCTAATGCTGTGACCCTTTACTACAGTTCATGTTGTGGCGACCCCCATCAAAATATTGTTTTGTTGCTACTTCATAACTTTTTGCTTTTGCATAACTTTAATTTTGCTACTGTTATGAATAGTACTATAAATATCTATTTATGCGACCCCAAAAGGGGTCGTGATCCACCAGGTTGAGAACCACTAAATTAGACCCTTATGTTTTTTATGAGCAGAGACTTTTCCTGACCCATTCCCACCGCTCCAGCACCTAGGACAGAAGTTTGTAAGATGCGAGACAGCCAATAGACACTGGGTGGGGCAAAGGGTAGAAAACAGAACCAAATAGGAAAGGAGAAAGAAGAAGCAACTGGGATGGCTCAGGAAGAAATGCTAACACTCGGGCTTCCTGCCAGTATCCACCGTGCTGCTTTCTCTGAACCCGTCCTCACACAACTACAGCTATCGCATCTTTGTGATAACCCTGTTATCCACTGCCCCACCCCAACTCTGGCAACCAAATCAGCTTTCGCCGAACATGTGCCATTTGAAATCAAGTATACCCCAAATTGAACTCATCATGTTTTCCTTAAAAATAAGGAAATATGAGGCTGCAGAGATGGTTATGCATTTAAGAGCACTTGCTGCTCTTCTCGGAGGAGCAGGGTTGCAGACCCAGCACCCACATTAGGTAGCTCACAACCAACTGTAACTACGGTTTAGGGAATCTGGCACCCTAACCTGGCCAAGAGAGGAATTTCCACGGTACATATACATACATGCAGGACCTGCCATATACATCACATACATACAAAAATTTTTAAAAAGTAAAAATAAAGAAATCTTCTTAATGACTTTATTTCAGCCAGTGTCTCTGACTCCTCGTCCTCCTGGGTCTCCCTTACCCAGTTCTCAACTTGTCTTTCACTATCTCATTTCTACTCTTTTCTGTATTCAACCTTCAAAATTACTCTCAGGCCTCATCACTTCAGACTCCAGATATCAATCTCTATTCCCTTTAAAGCAATAAGCCAACTTCTGTCTTACTGTCATATCACGATTTTAATTAAAAAAAAAACTTCATAGGTTCCCTTTTCCCTATTTTCTATCTTTTAACACATAAATTTACTAGCCTAGCTTTTAAGACTCCCTTTTCCTGTAAACACAGCCCCAAATAATGCTCATTTCATTACCACTCGGGGCAATCTAATCAACGTTCCTAGAATATTTTGAATACTATTTTGTTTCTAGGATTTTGTTTGGTCCCTTTGATTTCTTGGTTTTTGTTGCTGTTGTTCTGTCTTGGTTTTTGTTTGGTTTTTAGTTTTTTGAGGCGGGGTTTCTCTATGTAGCTGTCTTAGAACTCACAGAGATCTGCCTGCTTCTACCTCCCAAGGGCTAGGATTAAAGGCGTGTGCCACCTCCGTTTGAGGTGTGTGTGTGTGTGTGTGTGTGTGTGTGTGTGTGTGTGTGTGTGCATGTGTATGGTTTGCTATGCTGCTACAACTGATCTGAAACCCACAATCTTTGGTCTTCAGCCTCTCATGTGCTAGGATTTGGGATTACAGGTGTGTGTCACTATACCTGGCTCCCCTAATGTGCTTTTATAAAGTATCTGAAATGCTATAATTCCTGTGTGGTACCTTCCATAGTTACCAGAGTACTGTTCTCCTAAAGTGTCTATGGCATAAGACCTGGGCCATGCAATTCATAATATACTTTCAATTTAAAAGTGTGTTTCGCATGTAAATACAGGCTCAAAAGATATCCAAACATTTCTCTGACTTCCAGCCGAACTCGAAACTCAAGAACACGAAGCTGCATGTTGCCCTGGACCTTCATTCAAGCACTTAGCACAGAACTGAATAAAAACAAGTTTAACTAACTCCTTTCACTTCAAACTATTTCTCAGAAGAAATAAAGGAATAAGATATCACTAAACAACACAGTTGAACTTAATCCCAACCTAGCTAGAGATGATAAAATTCTTGTCTTTGCTGCCTCTGGTTTCCAACTTAGAAGTACAACCACCTGACTCGAGGTCAGCAATACCCTGTGCTCATGACATCACAAATGCATAGTTTTGTAATGACTACAAGAAGGTGGCAGCTGGCAAGGATGAAGGCGGCAAGTCCACTAAAGAACAGCTGTGTGCTTCTGTTACATGGAGACCTTTCTTTCATACACACCCTTTTTTTAATTAGCCATATTACCGGAGAATTTTCCTTTAAGATAGCTGGAGAAGATTTTTCAGTGCCCAAGACCTTCAAGAAAGCTACCTTAGTCTTTAACAATGCAGTGGGTTCTCCAGACAGGATGAAAGAAGATCCAGTCTAGCTGGAACACAGACATCATCGACCAACTGTTCTTATGCATGAGGGAGAAAGCCTGAGAGGCCACATTCACCTTCAGTTTTTTAAATTAGCCTACATTAAGATACTTAGCACAGTCTAGTTTTAATTACCTATAAATGGACTTTTAATTTTGTGGATTTCTAAAACCAAATATTTAAGCCAAAATTGTACAAATTGTACAATTGTACTTCTACAATTGTAAAATTCCTACAGACTTTTCCTTGCTATCAGATAATATAGGTTTAGAAATGTAAATTCAACATCAGTATAACCTCCAAAAGAGTAAGTCTGGCTTTAAAAATATTTTTTTTTTTTTGGCAGGGTAGGGGTTACGAGGCAGGGTTTCTTCGATAGTCGAGACTGTCCTAGAACTAGCTCTGTAGACCAGGCTGGCCTGAAACAGAAATTCACCTGCCTCTGTCTTCCAAGCGCTGGAATTAAAGGCATGTGCCACCACCACCAAGCAAAATAATGCATTTTTAAAATAATAAATTTGTTCAAAAAGCGTTGCATTCTTATGCCAGTACCCTCAACATTAGCAGAGCTAAATGCCCTGGAAATATGATGTCATCCTTACCACAAGCTTTGGAGCAGAACCCCGCCATAGTCTTGCGATTTCTCCACAGGCTGGTGCACTATGAGACAGGGACAAGCAGAGCTCAGACAGCAAGGTACACAGATACAAAAACTTCTATATGGAATCTTTCATCTACTGGCTATATATCTTTGGGCCAGAATGGTACAGAAAAGAAGCAGAAGAGTCACAATGTACCGGTGCCTGCCTGACTCCTTGTCCCTGAGTTCCTGGACCAAAGGGCTCAATATTTCTCATTAAATCCATCCTTTGTTCAAGGACCTACAATGACTCTATTGACCCTTCTATCCACATCCAACAGTTTGGCCTCTCAGTCCCTTCCACCCTCTTACTCCCCATGACTTGACCAGCCCACACTCTCCCCAGTCACTCTCACACATAACTTAGTCATTCATACAGACCATCGCTGCACATTGTATATGCTATACTTTATTTGGAAAATAATTTTGTTGGGTTTTTGATACTGGGTTTCATGTGTCCCAGGCTGGGTCTGAATTCACTACACATCTAGGAAGGGTGCCCAGAAACCTCTGATCCTCCTGCCTCAACCTCCCAAGTACAGGGATTACATAGATGCACCACCACAACCGATCTATGCAGGGCTGACAACAGCCCCCAGCCCCTCAGAAAATCTTTTTCTTTTATTCCTAACACAGAAAAGATTTTTATTGACTTTAGTGTGCACACTTATATAGGTAATGACCTGGGCAAGGTCATGTCATAAAGAAGAACCAGAGTCCATAGTTTTATATGACTAATCCATAATCTCCCAAGTCCATTTCACAACATACTGATTCAGAAAGCTGTCTAATCTCACTAATTCCTTCTTACTTCAAGTTTTCTCCAGCCCATCCACATGCCAGTATAACTGTTTAGACAGTTTCTGACATTTTAAAGTGTTTAAACACTAAAGCCTCTTCCCATGTATGTCACCATCCTCCTTCGCCCTGCTCTGTGTTCCATATATTACCTCCTGACCCCTCACCTCCCACTCCGAGGAAAAAGACACCTGTTTCATATCTATCTCCCCAAAGGCTGCCACTGGAGCTTGCAGGTTGCTTCATCCATAGGTGCTCAAATATTATTCAGCAAGGAATGTTTAAGTCCTCACTTCTATTATCTTAAAAGGCCAAGTGAATTCAGCAGTTCATGATAAAACTGCCCTGCACAGAATTTTAAGTGTCTGAATCTGTCAGACACTACTAAGATTCCAGTCACCATTCCACATAGGAAACATCACTGAGATCACATTTCCAAGGACTGATTTTTTCCTTGGGTGGGATAAGTGTTTGTGCTAAGGAGGACACGGACACACACTTTTTCTCTCTTTCTCTTTCTCTCCCCCCCCCCCCAATAGTCTCAGTCAGTACTGTTAGAATACTTGAGGCATCTGGGAGTCCAGAAACACAAGCAATACAATGCTCCCATAACAATGTGAACATTCATTCATTTGTGATACTAAATTGTCCCATCATAGCTCACTTGGCTGCTACATAATGTACCTCACACTGTACCTCAAATTTCTAAAAATGCGTTTTGAGAACTAAGAATAGTGGAGGATCTATTGGGCTGCTTGCTTTACACTCATTTCTAGGTTTCCACAAACTCTTCACTCCCCACCCTGTGAAATAATATATACAGTTCAACAAAAGGAAGTCAGCTATAAACAGAAATGACCCATATGTCATAACTACTATTGGCACCAGTCAATTCACAAGGATTAAAACATCTATTAACAGTCAAGACTCCAAGTGGATATATGTGATTCTTATTAATCCAATTTTAGACTCCAATTGAGATATTTTTCCACTAATGGGTAGGAGAGGAAAAGAGAGATAAAGCAATGATTATGCCAAGGAAGTTTTCAGACTAGTGATATAACTCCACCACAGAGCACCTAACACGGTGCATGCTGGTCGTCTGTCTTTATACAGCACACCAGAACCCACTGCTGCCACCCTGCCTTATACAGTGCACCGGCCTGTTTTCTTTGGCAAAGTTTTACTCTTTTCTCCTCCACAGATGTCGTCCCTGGTACTAAAGGAAAGGAATAAGACAAATCAGACCACCAAAAATAAACAAACAAATCAGTAGTAGTTTGGAAACAAACTTCCATCTTTACCTCCTATTTGAATGTGTAATGTCCAAAGCAGACATCTATTCGATTCTAAATTATTCACGGTAATGGATAATGACTGGCCAAAAGGTGCTGATAATCCAAAGTGAGAGGGAAAAATCGAAAAAGAATCTATTTTGGTTTTGGAATATATGTTTTTCAGCATATTTGCCTTCTCAATTATTCGTAGCATGAGCTAATATTTGTGTTCATGTTCAGTCTCTAAGTACACAGAAACTGGCCTGTTAGGAAGGCGTTCTGAAGATGCCAGCTCACTAGTGAAGTTAGAACAGACTGCTATTCAGCTCTGCACATGAGCAACAGCCAATTTCTTTTATCTTGCAGTTCTGCTCAGTCTTCAAAATATCAATAGACTAGTACAGCAGGTTAGTAAGCGGAAAAGACCTGCCTGAAAACAATGAGGGCAAAGAACATAATTAATTCCTCATTGTTTACCTAGAGCGTGTTCATTTGTCGGCTATGCACGGCCAGCATTTAACTACAAGTCTGGCTCTCCATCCCTTCAGGAACACAATCTCATTTATTAAGAAACATATTTTCTAAAATTAAAATAAAAATGTTATTCTTTTGGATTCATCTCACCACTACTACTTCTTATTTTGCTTTTCCACCTCTGAAACAGGTTTTGAGAGACAAAGGGATCCTGCCTTCTGAAAGACCTCCTAAGTATATAGTAGGAAAAGCCAAAGATGGACAAATTACCAGCTTCTAGTTTCCTAAATAAAACATCTTCTGTAGTACTCACAAAAGATAAGGAAAGAAAATGCCAAAGTCGAGTTAGCTTTGCAGTCATGAAAATTCCCTTAGAAGTGTGTCTGTGTGTGTGTGTTTGGTAGGGGATAACCTCTTAGATCAAATTTCATCTGTCCACTTCTTTCAATTTCCCCATTTTTACATGTGCCTTGCGCTCAGAAAAGATACCTAGGTTAGATAGACACTCTATCACCAGGGAGGAGAGACAGACTCTGAGGGCTGGTCCTTGTGAGCCGACAGGCTAAAAATACGCCGGCCCAGTAAACAAATCCCATTCCATCTCGACAGGAGCCACACCGTTAACCTAGTAATTATGAGAAGAGTGAGATCACGCAGCCCCCGGCTTACTCATCAGCAGCTTCGAAAGTTTCCATCGGCTCAGAGCAACTTTTCTTTTTTTCTAAAGTCCATAAGCCTGCCCTAGAATTTCTACACCTACACTTACAGAGTCTCTCTCTCTCTCTCTCTCTCTCTCTCTCTCTCTCTCTCTCTCTCTCTCTCTCTCTTTCCCTCCCTTCTTTCCCCCCCCTCCCCTCACCCTTCCTCCATCACTGGTCGCACCTCCCTTTGGCTATCGAGAAGCAGCACAAACTTGTCTTTTCATTTTACTTTTATAATGACTTCAAAAGAACTTTATCCCACTGGCTTGAGGGGGCCCGTCGGCGGCATCTTGACCCCCCTAAAACTCCGCCATCCCTCCCCAAAAGCCTAGCGGACAAGAGGGGACCATCCAAACTGCCCAGCACAGCTCGGGAGAGAACAAGAACCGCCGGGCAGGGCTGGGAGCGCGGGACGCAGGTGAAAAGACTGGCGTGAAGAGGGAAGGTGGGGACCAAGCAGGGAACGGCGAGGCGAGGCGAGGCGAGGCGAGGAGCGGGTGCTCAAGGGAGATGGCTTCAGGTAAAGTCTGGTCAGAAAGAGGGAGCAGTGGAGCTCCGAGGCGCAGAGTTTGGGACGCTGGAGAGGCGGGAGGGGCGGGGGAGGACGGGGAAGGTTGTCAGGGCTGGGGGCTCCGTTACCCTCGCGACTCTCAGGGCAAGGCTCTAGGCCGGGGCGGAGCGCGGGGCCCGGCCGCCTCTCCTCATTCCTCGGCAGTGACCCCGGGGTCCGAGCGGCCCCTCCCCCGACGACGATGGAGGCGGAGGCGGACACTGCGACCGCGACTGTTGCTCTCCACAGGAACTGGAGCCGGAGCCAAGCCGGGACTGGCCGAGGCTGGCCTCTCCCCAGTGGCTTTCCGCCGGCTCCACACCGGGTCGCCACTCCGACTCCAGCGGCTGGTTCAGGATCGGTGGCTCTCGGCCGTCCGGCCGGAAACAAGAGCCCGTTTCCGGCCGGAGCGGGTTGGCGGTGACACCCTAGCCGCCCCCCGGGCCTCCTCCCGCCCGGCGCGGCCGGCCCCGCCCCGTCCCGCCCCGCCCCGCCCCGCAGCAGCTCCGCCCTCAGGGCCGTTCTGAGGCCGCGGCCAGTTTGGCGCTTGCCCGGCGCGTGACCCCGCGCGTTCTTGGCTCGCGTGCCCGAGCCCCCGGGCTGAAGCAGTTTTGAGCCGGGAGCTGGGAGCCCGGCGAGGACTCTTAGGACTTTGGGGTCGCCTCAGTTGGCGCCGGCCCTTTGGGAAGAAATAGAAACGGGCGGAGTAGTTCTCGAAAGGTGAGAAGGATGAAAATATTTGAGAAGAGGGCTGAAATTCTAGTTACTCCAAGCAGTCCTTCTGGACCGACCAGAGGAAAATAAACAGCGCTTCTTACAAACCAGCCCCGCCCAGTTATGCGTTCCCCTTGTTCCTTCACTTGAGCGTACCCTTTGCTGTACAGTATTTACTTGCATAACAATGACTCCCTAATGACACCTTGGCCGCGGACCTAGCGGGGTCGGTAAAAGTTATGTAGTACTTTTGATGGTTAATGTGTTTTTACAACATTACAGCATAATTCGACGCCAGAATTTATTGAAGTCCTACTATGTAAAGGCACTGCACTCCGTAATACTGGAAATAGAAAAGTCAAAGAACACCAATTCCAAGCATCAACGGTCTTACAGTTTAGTATTAATAAAATGCATTAACGTACTTTTAGGCAAGGCAAGACAAACGTGTGCCATGTAGGTTACAGTGGGCTGTGCCCAGAGAGGGCATAGACAAGCCGTCTCAACCTTCCGTATCTGTAAAAGAATATGGACTGCTTCCACAAGAACCACTTGATTGCAAACACAAAACGGGGCCAGCCTCTGCTACACGCTAACCTATCCTAGATTTTAGTTCAGACACTTAACATCGTGGTGCCCAGTGTACATATTCAAAGCAGGGTTTATTGTCAAAATTATGTTCTTTGGGCTTATGTGACAGTACACCACCCTACAGTCAGCTTTTCATTTTCCTCACTCCCCTCTGGGGCTTTTGGTTTCTAAAGGGGAGGGAGGGATGGAGCACGGAGTCTTCCAGACGAGCAAACTGACACCTGAAACATGAAACCTGCTGGACAGCTCTGTCTCTTGAAAGATCCCCTTAAGTTTAGAGTTGAAAGTTTAGGGCTGGACCTAGAGCCATGCCTACGTACCTCAGCCAAGCAGAGCAAGGTGCCTTGCATGGAACATACCAGAACTTACAACACAGCTTAATAAGCAGAGACGTTAGGGCCAGAGCTTAAAAGATTCAGGGAATGCAGACTGTGGCCACGACTTAGTGACAAATTTGAAAAGAACAGGATGAGATCTGGTCACTTCTATTGATTCTAATTGAATTCCGTAGATCCTACCAGACCTTGACAGCTAAGTCTGAGGCGGGAAGGCAGAACTGTGCAAAACTGAAGCCTGTTTTCACCAAGGAATCCAGGACCCACTGGCGCTCATCTCAACGTTGTCTGTTCTGCTCACCACTCTCACCGACTCTCTGGGACCAGGTCTGGAGCCCAAAGGTTCTCTCCACCTTGAGCAGACTTTTTCTTTTGGCAGGGACCACAAAAAGGGGTCCTGATTCAAAAGCTGAGCCAAGTTGCTGGTCAACGTCGAGCAAGTGACCACACACTGTAGGCCTGCCTGGAAACTGAGGGATCAGGAAGTGGTGGGGTTGCTGTTGCTTTGTTTCTTACCCTGACTGCCCATCAGTCATTGTTGTTTGTGCAACTGCTCAATGGGCTGCTTGTCTTTGGCCAGCTCTGCTTGTGTGTGGGTAGCAGTGTGGTCAGCTGGGCTGGAAGCCAGGCCACCTGGGTTCTGGTCCCCGCTCAGCCAGCCCCTGATCCATTAAGTGTCTCCCCTCCCATTCCTATGCTGTCGGTTTCTCTGCCTATAAACTAGAAAGTAGGAGCCTCTGCTCTTGTGGAGTGAAGCCATTCTGACTGTCACTGTGTCCGATGCTCAGATGCGACCATCTCATAGTGAACGGTCACAGCAGCCTGAGGACAGCTGAGACTTTTTTCCCCTCCTAGGAAGAATAGTAAGGAACCGATGGAAAGGCTTCGAAGAAACCCCACCAGTGTACACAAGGCCACGCCCCTTGTCTGCTACTCCCTTCGATGTTTTTTTCCACCCTAACAACTGCCTGTTTCCATGTCTTAGTGATTCCAAGCTTCTAAAAGCTCCCAGAGCTTGAACTTGCATTTCACCAGAGCCCCTCAAAGGAGACCCGGCATCTGGCTGGCGGGTATGGTGCAGAGGAAATAGTCAGAGAATGCTGCTTTGCAGCTAACCAAGAAAAAAAAAAAGGAGAAATTATTTGCATTTATATGTTTTTGTGGTAGAAAAGAAAACCAAACCAAAATGACTTCCTCTCTACTACCATACGATAATTTAGACCAGTGGTTCTAGGATTCTTTTAATATTATGTACTGTACATGCTTAGAAATGTTAGGCTAGTTCAGAAATCTTGGTGCTGAAGACTATATAAATATATAAGTTTATATTTATAAAATATAATATATAAATATATATTTATATATTGCTTTTTCGAGACAGGGTTTCTCTGTGTAACAGTCCTGACAGTCCTGGAACTTACTTTGTAGACCAGGCTGCCTGCTTACTTCACCTGCCTCTGCCTCCCAAGTGCTAGGATTAAAGGTCTGTGCCACCACCGCCCTGCCTATATATATATATAAAGATATATATATCTTTAAGAAAAATATCCAGGGGGGCTGGAGAGATGGCTCAGAGGCTAAGGGCACTATCTGCTCTTCCAGAGGTCCTGAGTTCGATTCCCAGCAACCACATGGTGGCTCACAACCATCTGTAATGTAATGAGACCTTGTTGAAGGAGCTGTGGGCTGCGTTCCTGCCACCTAGCTAGCTTATGCCCCAAAATAATTACACGGAAACTGTATTCTTTTAAACACTGCTTGGCCCATTAGTTCTAGTCTCTTAATGGCTAATTCTCACATCTTGCCTAACCCATATTTAGTAATCTGTGTAGCACCAGTCTTACCGGGAAAGATTCAGCATGTCTGACCTGGCGGCTTGCTTCACCGCGTCTGACCTGGAGAGGAGAGGCATGGCGTCTGACTTCACTTCCTTCTACCCAGCATCCTGTTCTGTTTACGCCACCCACCTATGTTCTAACCTATCAGGCCAAACAGTTTCTTTATTAATTAACCAATGAAATCGACAGGTTGATATATGACACTTCCACATCATTTCCCTTTTTTCTGTTTAAACAAAAAAGAAGAAGGCTTTAACTTTAACATAGCAAAATTACATATAACAAAACAGTTATCAAGTAAGAATTAAAGTTACAATATTTATATCTATTTTATCTTTTATCATAACAAAGAAAAACAACTATAACTATCTATTTTTCAACTCCATCAAAGATTCCAGAAGGATATAATATTACCTAAGTAAATGAGAAATAAACAATTTACAAAACTCTAGAAATCACAGAGACATCTCGCTGCCTGGACAGTCACCCAAAGTTCCTCTGTACCGTTGGGGCATCCATCTTTGGCCTCCAGGCCCATAGTATCCAGAGACATTTCCACGAAGCAGGAAATTTCAAAGGCAGTTCAGTCACTATCTGCTGTGTCCTGCACAATGTCGCGCAGACTATTTCATGAATCTGGAACCCCGAAAGATCATCTCACCTTTAGGCAAGTTCAGCAGTCCTCTCTCTGAGGGTTCTCTGTGTCCAGTTTATGCAATAGTCCAGGCAAGAGCAGTTTCTTGCCCAATTGGCTATCAAACTCGATAAGGATCCTCTTCGATGCCCATCTTCCTTTTGAAGTAGATTGGTGCTGCCAGGAGCAGAAGTGTCTCATTGTCATGAAAAGTCCTAAGTTATTAAAACATTAAATGTCATATTCTGTAGTCTTTGAAAGATATGAAGAATGTCTATCTAAAATATATCTATGCACATCTAACTAACATGACTATAAGCTTGACTATTATGATTATCTATTAACAACCTATATACATTACATTTTACATGAACTACACAATCACAATACCTTAATCAATATCAGAAATACATATACATATAACAAGATTGACCTTAAATTTATGTTAATAAAGTCAAATCCATACCAATGCAAATTATTTGTGCCTTCCTTGCCAGCAGTACATTGTATGCTTAATAAATAAATCTTTAAAAAAAGAAAAAAAAGAAAAATATCCAGGACTTTTTCTAAGTTAAATCCATTCCTGCCCTCTCACCCAGAAATTCTACTCCTGGATGTTTACCTACTAAAAAAGAAAACATGTGTCTACAAAGAGTTTGCGTATGAATGTTCATAATGACTTCATTTTTCATAGTCGCCCAATAGAAACCTTTCAAATAACCATGATTTCAGAAATGGACATCTAAACCCAGCAATACCACTTTTGGGTATATATTCAAAAGATGCTCAATCGTACCACAAGGACATATGCTCAACTATGTTCACAGCAGCATTGTTTGTCATAGCTAGAACCTGGAAACAACCTAAAAGCCCCTCGACCAAATAATGGATAAGGAAAATGTGGCACATTTACACAGTGGAGTACTACACAGCAGAAAAAAATAACAACATCTTGAAATTTGCAGGCAAATGGATGGAGCTAGAAAATATATTGAGTGAGGTAACCCAGACCCAGAAAGACAATTATCATATGTACTCACTCATAAGTGGTTTTAAAACATAAAGCAAAGAAAACCAACCTACAAATCACAATCCCAGAGAACCTAGACAACTAAAAGGATCCTAAGAGAGACACACATAAATCTAATCTACATGGAAAGTGAAAAAGACAAGATCTCCTGAGTAAATCGAGAGTGTGGGAACCATGGGAGAGGGTAAAGAGGAGGGGAGAGAAAGGGAGGTGAGCAGAGAAAAATGTATAGCTCAATAAAATCAATTAAAAAATGGACATCTATATTG